CCACAGAAACTCAAATCTTGCCAAGTCAGTCTAGAAGTTGTGATCCTATATAATTATGGGCACTAAATTCAAACAAGTGTAAACAGTACAGGATTCTTGAACCCAGAAGTAATTAATACTGATTTATTCAATTATTGGAATGGCAATACATGATCATATATGGCAATCTCCATTACACTTGATACAATCCGACACTCTCACATATAATTATATCTGGGTACTTCACTCTCTTTATGAAAGCATAACTGTGAATTTCAAAAACTGATTTACAATGCAAACATGTCATAATTATGAAAGGAAGAATATAAAGTGAATGTTACAAGGACACAGCTGCACTGAAGCCACATGGAACTGGTTGGCTAGTTGCAGTCACAGGCATCTTTGGGGCAGCTGCACTCCCCTTTTCCTTAGCACTGACATTTCTTTGCTGAAATATAGGAGAACAAGAATTAGTTTTGTTTGTATTATTTAACATCAAATGATAGGATGATTGGTGACTAATGATTTGGAAAAGATGTGTAAGGAAACAGTTATGGCCTAACATATGCTAGAAAGAACTGGAGAACCACAAAATACTCAAGAGAGTTGTGTCCTGCTTGAGACAAAAAATTGAGCCCCTCCAGAAGACAAGTCAGTTGTGTTAAAAGTTTATTTTTCTTGAGGGGGGGGGAAACAAGTGATGTCACAATGTCTCCTGGTACTGTGGCCCCAAATGGACCCTGATGATTGATGAATATGTAACACTACTAAAACAATAACTGATCTGGCTGTGTCACTCCGCTGTGATTTGGGCACCCTCAAATCGAGTTCTACCAGCAAATGGCTGCTGTCAATTTTGTTTTAGTGTCCCTTCCATGTCAGGATTATGCTTTAAGATGGGCCATAATCACTTCCCTCCCACTAACTCTCAGTTCGTAATCACCGTTCTAGCCTCTTTGATTAATCATTTAAAACATAAGATCCTACCTAACAGAAACGCAATATTTAAAACCATTGTTGAAGTAGTGGTGTGTGAAAGTATGAATTGAATTCATCAGGATATGGGCTCCAGCAGCAGCTTCTTTTATGGAAATGAACAGTTTCTTGGTCAATTCCGCAACTTACCTCCTCAAGGACAACTATTTTTCCATGGATTAAGGTTTTCAAAATGTAGGGCTGCCCCTCTTTATCTATGGAATCTCGTAATTGTAAAAGTTGTGAAGAAAATATTTGTATCTAAATTATTTTAATTTGTTGAAGAATGGAAAGAAAACTACAGAATGTAGTCCTTCACGGTTTTTACTATGTACTGAAGACATTCATTCAATGATAGTATTGAAGTGGATATGAAAGCGACTGGTTGTGATAAGTAGTTCCAGCTGTAAAGTTCAGAGCCATGTTGTGCACTGAAACTGTTCCAACATTTCAGCATACTTGCAGTGACCATCTTCAGAGGGAACTGGGCTCAAGGATGATGTGGCCAGTGACATTGTCTTGTGGTGGGAGTATGAAGCATGTGCTATCCAATGGGAAGGAGCTGTGGACCAATATGTGGTAAAGTTTTGCAGTTTGAGTAGGGGTGGCACATGGAGCATGGCAGTATGCAGTAGAAGGGGTTCCTGTGATTAAAATTAAGAATAAAGTCAGAATGAAGAAAGGTGAGACAAACAGGATTTTAGTCAGTCTGTATTCAACCTCACAGCTGAAACTGTAGAAGTGTTTGATCATTTCAGTGGCCTTCCTGATGATGCAGGGATAGTGACTGTGAATGAATGAATGAAATGGATTCTAGAAAGAAGCCACAGAAAATGTGAAATCTGATGCCATGTTTGGCCTCAGCATAGTGTTGTATGCTTGTAATGACTGCCTCACAGATCCATAGTAACAGATTATATCATAAGTAGGCAGATACTTGCATCTGTTCAGAGAGAAAGTCTATTCATGTCAGAAAGCTCAGTCCTCATTAAAATGAAATAATTGCATTAATTTTAAAAATACAAGTTGAAATAATCTTTTAAATTATCTAAATGCTAGATACCTTTCAGAAAAGCTAAACAAAGCTTCATATTTTTTATGTTAAATCATGTATACATGGTTGCTAGAGCTTGAAGGTTGCTGGTTGGAGTTCCAATGACGTGCATCTTTTCAATTGACAATCCTTCCAGCCGCACTATGGCCCTGGGGTCTACTCAGTCTCTTAACAGAAATGAGTACCAGGAATCTTTCTGCGTGGTAAAGGGCAGCCAGCGGGTAAGGCTGACAACCTTACCACCATCTGTGAGAAAACTATCTAGAAAATGTTGGAATCTCACAACCCTATGGGTGTTCACAGCCTGTTACAGGGATAGCTTTACCTTGTTCTTTACTTTTTAAATCATGTATACATATAGTAGCGACTTTAAAGGGTTAATTAATTAATCGGTTAACTCTTACACTGCTGCGGTCGACATATGTCGATCTCTGAAAAACATGGCATCCTTGCAACGATCGACAAAACCCATATTACGACTTAAGAGTTTCAAATCTCAGGTTTACGTGTATGAATCTTTTTCAAACTTGGCGGGTGCATAGAGTCATCCATTGGGAATGTAATGAAGCAGCATTTGTTTCAATGGCTGCATTCTTCTCTAGCTTAAGAAATGTAAAAGGTTGCATCTGCAGAGCGAGGCACGTGCTCTGTGGTAATGTGGCGCGGGTATTTCACAGGGCTACTAAAAATGGCTTCATATAGTGTGCAGTGCTTTCTATAATAGTTTTAAATAAAGTTGTGGACTTTGGTCAACATGTGACTTAGTGATAAGACTAGTATAGTGAATTATGTACTTTTTGGCCATCTTGGACAACCCTGATTTAAATGGACTTTTCCCCTGTGAAAAATACTAAATAATTCAAAATTTTTGCAACTTCTGATGCCTGTTCCCTGTCTGAGGTAAGATTAGCTACATTTTATCACAAATTTTCATATTTTTCAATTAAATTATTTATAAAAGATTTATTCAAAAATAATTCAGCACAGAGGGTACTGAGAGTTACTTAACGTACTAGCAGTGAAAGGGTTAACAAGCATGTCGGAAACCTTACTGTGAAGTTTGGGTTAGTGCCTACATGCGATCAGTATCAGGGAAGTTAAATGCAGAATGGCTACATGACACATATTACAAATAATATATATCTGAAGATTTGAATGCTGGAACACTGTGAAAGAATCACTTAGTGCACATTAGACCACCATGGTCCTTGATTTTGTCACTCTAATAATATTTCATGGAGACTACAAATTCTGAAGCTGATCATGCAGTTTTCTCCAGCCTCCACAGTACTGAGCAACCTGGCCTTAAACACCCCAGTCTATGTTCTTCCCTTGACATGAGACACCACATTCCACACACACAAGGCAGAAAATACAAAGTAAGTAACCCATGGAGCACAGCTGCTCAGCCACTCAAGAAATTCCCAACATTTTATGGAAACCGAAGGTTGATAAGTGTTCACAAGAGCCTAGCTACTGGACCTTATCCAATTAGTACTTTTACATCCTCTTTCCTTTGAGTTCCATTTTAATATTACCCTATAATCTACTCCCATGTTTTCTTGTAGGAAATACAGTAGTATAAATGTATACTGGTTCAAAGTACTCGTAAGTAAATGTACACTGGCCAGCTCTGTATGCAGACTGTAGCTTACAAGTTGCTGGCCTATTATCATCACTGTTGGTGTGAACCAGGTCAGGTGCAGATAGTGGCCTTACCTGTGGCATCCCCGGTACCCCTGCTGCTGCTGCTGCTGCTGCTGCAGCACTGACACTCAAAGCCACACCTGCAGTTTTCCCCACAGCTGCCAGACTCTGGGCAGGTTACTGAAAGCCAGAGCAACTTCTGTAAGTATTTGGGAAGCTCACAAACAGCTGTAGGTTCTATCGGTATAGTCTTTTGGGGTGTGACTGTGTAGCCTGGCAGAGAGTTACAAACGTTTCAAAGGAACATGCTGAGGTGGGCAGGAGATTTCTCCAAAAGAATGGGGGTTGCAAAACTGAAAAACGAAATGAACCTACCAAATATTAATATCAAAAATTAAAATTAATGTAAAAATAAATTATTCTTCCATCCAGAATATTCTAAGGCGATCTGTATGGAAAAAATCTTAAAACAGAAGTTTGCAGGCAAATTCTGTACCCATCATCCCCCCGTAAAACTTCTGGCGGACCCCATTTTTTGTAACAGAGGCTTTTGCCCCTCTGTTTCGACCCACGGTGGCTAGGCATAGCTGTGGTGAGTCACCGGTTAGTGACATCACAAGAATGCACCAGTGTGGTTGAATTGGCAATACCGCAAGGTAACCTGCCTGGCTGTCACACTGGTTGCATTCCCACGACACGATGACCATGCTACGTGATGGACGGCCGGGGTTTCCTTGCCGGTAGGGCAGAGATTTTCACTGAACGCCGTGTTCACGTGGGTAACATTTATACTTCATATTCGGGCAGGTTCTGGGTTCAAATTTCGGGTCGGACACTGTCTGTCCTGAAAGGATCATTCCATTTTTTTGTTCCGGGTTACAAACCTCAAATTCAGCCACGACCACTTCGTTCCCAATTCGTTATTCACCTATCATCCTACCATTTCTCGCTATATAGCAGTGTTTCTCAACCGCCGGGCCCTCGTCCTATAAAAAAAAATAAAGAATTTACCGGGCCGCGGTCTCACAACGGTTGAGAACCACTGCTGAATAGCCTAAGCTGCTGGCAGCGTCGTTAAATAAATGACATGCATAACACGCAGCCGTGCACTTTGTGAATATGAACGTTACAAAATCCTCTCGCCGTCTTCATCGCCTCCCTACATGGTGCCGTTGCCGCTGCTGGGGTTGTGGCTACATACTGCCTTACGTCCTCTTCTTGTTTTCGGATTAATTAGTCACTGGTTGGGCGCCAGTAAGCTTATTTGAAATTGTCTACGAACTTGGTGGAAAGGGGAATGGGGGAGGGGGGATAAGGAGATACTGGTGTTGGGCCCCTAGTTCGAGACTTTAGAGATATAAGATTCTGTCTCAGAGCGATTGTTGGGTTTCGCTCGGTCGGGGGAAGGGGAACTCCCGATACTACATACACAACACATATTCACAGAGCCTCTTTATTACGAAGACTGTCACTGGTGAACACCTTCAATCAACTAGATTATACTTGCTTTACTTTTATTCAGGAATCACAGTGTTTGTTGTAGAAGTACTTAAACGGCTTACTTAAGCTTCCAAATAGATTTCGGAAATATAAATTTCACTTTAGGCTGAATCACTAGTCTATAGGTAGCTCCATTTACAGTTTCTATAATCACTTACACAGGAACTTAGAATTTCTAGTCAAACTTATGGAGATGGAGATTTTGCGTCCGAAAAATCTGTGAGCTCGAAAACAACTCACTTAACAGACTAACTTCTCTCAAAACTAGAAGTCCTAACCGCTTCGTATTGGCCCACAAGTCACTTCCTGAAGTTTCGAGGATTGGTCAAATTTGAAGAAGAGGATTTTATCTCATTTCCTATTCCGCCAATCCGTTGCAAATTTCAAGGGATTTTGAACTCTAATGGCCTAACGTAACTTTTGACAGTCGTTTGATAAATTCTAGCCGTGGCGTGGGCTGTTGGCACTTCCACTTTTGTCGTACGATGTTCTGAAACTGCCAAATATCGTGTTCCCAAAGAATTCCGACCAGCAAATTTGACTAGAATTTCTAGGAAGAAGCTACAAAGGACCTTCCTGTCTTACTTGATTGATTGATTGATTTATTTCGTCACTGTAGATCATTGTACATGATATATGACAAGTCAAGTTAATTCTGAATATTAACAATTTGATATATAAGTAGATTAAAATTACAATAGTTACAATTTTTTTACATTCTTATTTGTGGAGAATTTGATGGAATGAACATTGGCAGGGGAAACCGAAGTACTCGGAGGAAACCTGCCCCAGCGNCTGTCTTCGCTCGCGTGGAAACCTGGATCGTGGGTTCGAATCCAACTCAGGGCATGGATGTTTAGTTTTTCTGTGTTTGTGTACAGGTAGAGGCCTTGAGACGAGCTGATCACCCGCCCAAGGAGTCCTACCGAATGTGTAAGATCTAGAAAAACCGAAGTGAACGGAGAAGTTCATGGAGGTAGGCCTAGGCCCACTGGGGCTCTAGTGCCAAGGAAAAAAAAATTTGAAAAATTGAGATGGGGTTGGCAGGACGGTTACAGTAGTCACATGAGTCTCTTCCGGGCTGTGACGTAAGGGTACATGTCACCTAGGAGACCAGGACTGAATGAGACGTCAATAATACAAACAGGTTTTGGAGGAACAGGACATAAACGCATTAACCACATCTTGTGGTATGTAATGCTGTCTGAATGGCAGCAACGTTTCTTAGCAGTTTTGTGCATCTGTCTTCATGGCAGAATATCCCAGTAATTCGGTGACCTGTATTTCAAATTATATGAACATGACTCAGCTGGAATAGCTACGAGCAACTTTTTTGTATTTCACGTAAGAGAAAACGTTTTCTTGTTTCGTGTCCTGTGAAGATAAATGTGGGGAACAGACCGTTGTGGGGGTGCTACCTTCACGTAATGTATCAAACTGGGGCAAACCAACCACCTTTACCTCCTCCCCGGATAATTGTAAATGACTAGTTATCCCAAATATAAAATACTAAGGGGTGGGGGGCACGCGGTAGCGTATTTGGTTGAGGCACCATGGTACAAGCCGGAAGGTCGTAGGTTAAAATCCCAATGAGGTCACTGGATTTTTTTTCAATTGACCTAATCCTTCCAGCTGCACTATGGCCCTGGGGTCGACTCAGCCTCTAACAGAAATGAGTACCAAGAATATTCTTTGAATATACTCGGGGGTAAAGGGAGGCCGACACGTTGGGCTGACAACCTTGCCGCCATCCATGAGCCGATTGTTTAGAATATGTGCGAACCTCGACATCTCACAACCCTCTTACAGGGATACCTTTACTTTTTTTTTTATTTTTACTTTATCAAATATTAAAGATTAAAATTAGTTTATAAAAGAATGTACTATTCTATCCCGAATACTTAAAGATGATCAGAAAAAATAATCCCGAGCGGCTTAAACATAGGTTTGTAAGGACGAGAAACAGCTGAGAGCGTCACAGATGCCTACTGCATTACGTCCGCATGTCAGTATAAAAGTGGCAATCAGTAGCTAAAATTGCATGTACTCACCGCTACACCTTTCGCAGCATGGAGTAGGCATGATGCTGTAGTGATGTTGAATATAAGCTGCAGCCACGATATAATCTTACGAAAGCTGATGTTGTCGAATGCAGCCGGAGTTCACCAGGTCGCGTATTTATTGGCCCTGCGAGCCGTGCGCAAGACAGCCCGTCTCCAGGGGTAAGGTTCGCAATCTGTCCGCGTGCAGTACTGCACACGTCCGCTAGTGTATACTGTATCACTACGCCGCCTACATGATTGCAATCACGCGTACACTGATAAGGGCTAGAAGCAGATAGTGGATGTGAGATCTGACAACCTGTGTTCGGGAGCTGCCCGTCTCATGTCTGTCTTGGAACGCCAACTACGCCGCTTTCGTGGTTTCCCTCTAGCAAATGCTGCTCGAATAAGCCACGACCACTTCCTTTTTCGCACAATCTTAGTCGTTATTTAATACTCATTCTACTACTCGACACTATGCAGCCTGAACTACTGACAGCATCATTAACCAAACTATAATTAATAACGGCAATGTTGTCCCTGTGCTTAATTCGTCGAGCACCATGCCATGAAAATACAAGGAGGAGTGGAAGTATAGCTCCACCATGCTTGACCTCGGCAGTAAGATGGAGGTGAGTGGTCAGCTTCACGCTCCGGCCGCTTTATCCCCGAAGAAAGAGCCCACGGTATCCCTTGGATAGGAGGCTGGATGGTTCCCAGAGCCTGTCTGGACGCTTTGGAGAGAAGCAAAATCTCTTGCCCCTGCCAGGAATCGAACCCCGGCCGTCAAGCCTATAGCCCGTCACTGTACCAACTTATCTTTCCGGCTCAAGCTATTGATGAATAATATCTACAAACTGAGATTCTACCTCAAAGAAAACAGTGTTCCTCCATTACCAAGGCCAACCAGTTTAAGGAAACAGTCACTGTTTATTGTGAGAACCATACGGAACACGTAAACACTACGTGGACAGAATGCAGAGCTACTCAGTTGTTTAAATGGTAAAGATCACGGAAGAGTTGGCGAGTGCTCATACGGCCCGATCCTTTGGTCAGCCTTGTCCCAAGACGTTTCATTCATATTACCGGCTACGTCTTTGCCATTCTGATCGATCGTATATCCTTAGTTTACGTTAGCTCTCGCATTTTTCGGGGCTAGTCAGTGCGTGGGCTCACCTAAAGCAGCTGAATTCGTATTATTGCAAAGAAGTAAACCGAACTCGCTGTGATCCACTTGCGTGGGGCCCACCAACATTTTCCCTCCCCCAGAAAGAAAATGTGCTTACAAACTAACGTTTCAGCCGTGTAAAAATATTTTTACTCATCGTCCTCATGTATTCAGGATACAAGAATATATTTTATATATTTTTAATTTTATCTAAATATTTGGCGTATATCCTTCGTTTCCTACTTTTATTTTCAAAATTCCGGACGTGAGACGCATGGTTTTGTTCCCCTTTTGCTGGAGCCCACCCCTGCATGGCTATGGGGACCTGGGCGGCTGGAAAAATGGGGCAAGAACTCATGGAACAAAAAAGAATAAATGAAAGAATTTAATTGGGCAGGAAATAGGGTAAAGAAAAGGAAAAAGGTGTAAAGATGTGTAAAAGTGATAGAAAGAAGGAAACGGGGGAAAAGAAAAAGATGCAACGAAATAAGGTAGGTATGAAACTAAATGAATGGAGAGAGGAATAACTGAAGAACGTATAAAAGAGAAAAAGAAAAGATTATAGACAGACCAAGAAGAAATGAAAGAAATGCTGAAGGAATGGTAAAAAGGAGGAAATTATGAACACAAAAGCGTCCATTTTGGAGCGTAGTGTTTCGCAAGTTGCTTGTCTTTTAGGATGTGACGCCGTGTAGTCCGGAGGAATGTTATCAAGGTTTCGCAACAGATTTCTCCGTACCGTTGGTACTAAAATACCAAAGCACACGGCGTAACGTCCGAGAAGATAAGAATGTTGCAATTCACGGCCGTGGGAAGCTCACGTCGCCCTGCGGAGCGGGCCGTGTGCAGTCGGAGTGCTAATTGCAGTGACCTCGGCGTAAGCTGCTCGCGTTAGCCTTCCTGGAAGACGAGCGGGTACCGGTCCTGCTTCGTGTTCGGGGATAGGACGTCGTTGACCGAGGGTTCTAGTTCAATAGTGAGATGAAAGCTCTGAAGTTGCGTATTTTGCGGTTACTGTAGTAACGAACTTTCCATCGTTTACATATAGCTTATACGTAACTTATGTAGTAGTTCCCGAAAGAGCAAGCAGTCTGTTTCGGTGTATGTATTAATAATAACGATGCTGATGTGTCAAATGTAGTACACTATATAAAGAATAGAGAGTTTGCAGTTGTACTTATGAGTGTTATTCATGGGAGATGGCGTTAAACTTTTCCTCTATGTATTATTGGATATCTTGTATAGCTGAAAAGGAACACAGGAAAAAGGAGGGGGAGTTAATGGTACGAAATCTTAGGTAACAACTTACTTTGAATTCTCAGCGGGTGTCACACTAGCAAACGATAAATATGTACACATTTATAAACTGTATGATCGACGATGTGACTGAATAGATACGGTGTTTCCCTCCAGGGAACGTGACCAACGTGTGATTCGCCCATTTGTGTATGTGCGAGAGAAGACCCTGGGTCAATTTGCTGAGAGCAGAATCCTCCAAATTATCCCAGAGAACTGTCCTGTATGCTTTGATGCACCAAAAGTAAGCACAGAACATGGAAAGATTTACATATCATTTATGTAATTATGCCATCATTAGCTCTGGCCATGTAGCATCCAAAGGTAGGAAAATTAGTGGATTGGAAAGGATATGGAAGGAAGCAGTTATAACCTAACTGAGGTACTATCCCAGCATATCCCTCAAGGGACTGAAGGAATCAGAGTAGTTAGTATCGCGCCCTAGATTCAAAGTCAGCACCTGCCGAGATTGAAACTATGCATGTCCCCAATACAAGTGAGAAGTGATAACCACTTGAATGAGTCTGCTTACTTGTGTAACCGGTCATTACCTACCAACGTAAACTTCAAAGTTAATATTTGTTACTTAGTACCAATTTTATACTAAACGTAACATATGCCCAGTCTTGCGTTAACTGTGTCACCATAGATAGCTGTAAATCTTAAAGTGTGTTCAAGGCACAACTAACTTACAAGTAAACGCCAATTGTAACCGTGTAGTACAGTAAATAAAGAGTGTATCATTAACGTCAGACTGTGATTCAAGGACTCTTCACTAAAAATCCCCTTCGTCGGAGCAAGGCTTGTTAAGCCCTGGGAGAGAATCTCATCACTCGACCCAAAGACATTATCCTACTGTTAACCTAAACACATTGACGTGGTTCCCAGATCATGTAATGGTGCCCAACTCATTGACCAACAGGAACCCCCCAAAGAAGTTCTCTTACAAGTGGCTGATCTTAACACGAGACAAGCAAAGTGCACTCACAAGTGACGCCCAATGCAAGGCATCGCCAAGCAACAATAGAAGAACACTCATACTTGGTGACATGGGAAGAAGTGATCCTGAACTTATATGTATATACCGTATTACTTAGAATCTAAGATGTGCATTTCATACATTTTTCCCCCATTCAAAAATTTAGGTGCATCTTGAATTCGAGGAATGTGCACCTAATTTTGTTCCCTCCTAAATCCCACATTCAAAAACTGTACGAGTCTTATATTTGAAGTAACAGGATATTGTCTTCCTTGCTTTGATTTCAAGCACTGCAGTTAGTTTTATGAGCCTCAGACTCTGCTTTCACGTGAAACATTATACGTGCTTCAGTCGTATAACTGACTGACTGAGCATTTTCAAAATCTATCTTTTGAGGTTTTGGTATAATCCTTGAGGCAGTTCATTTTTATGAGAGAGCCTCCAGCATCTCCCATGTCTTATCTCTCATAGCCCATAAACTCCCTTTCTCTTTGTGTCTCTGTTTCGATTTTCTTCCACAGGGTCAGTTGCTTATTTAACTTAAAGATGTGTAAAGATAATGAAACGTGTGGTGGCAGCAGCGTACGCTTAAAGGTCAAGAAGTCATGCTTTAAGTGTGAAATGTGATTTTATGTGCTTACATCTCTACAACGCAAATCCCTCGAAGCCCAAAAAACATCATTTCAATAATATTTAAAAATTCACTTCCTGCCTTACAGAAAATAATGTCTCTATTGCAAATATCAGCCAATCAACGCTGTTTTGAGAAATAACCATTGTTTACTGTGGGAATTATACAGAACACATTCGTACACTGTGTGGACAATTCAACAGAATTTCTCATTAGAGGAAACAGTAAGAAAGTACATTCATTGTACCATCCAACCTAAACTTGCATTTTAATATAATTAAAAAGAAATATTCCAAAGTGGTAAATAACACTGCCACCATAATATATAACGTTCTCAAGTTCAGATCACGGATCATCCTTTTGTACTGGTGATATTGTTTTCAGGAACGCCATCGTGTGAAACAACTGTTGGCACAGCAGGAGATACTGTTCCCTCGCCTCTTCTGGAGCTTGCGATCTGCCCTTCACCCACTCATTAGTTTCCGGCACACTGGCGAAGAGAGCAGAATCTACACGCGCCACAGGAAACAATCTCAGTCCCATGGAATGCATCCCACTTCTGATGCTCTAAGTTCCGATACAGAGGAAGAGCCAGTGTCTTAGATGGGTGAGTGAGGAAAGTGGAGTTGAATTTTCTGCATTTATTTCAATGTAGAATGACTTGATCTAGAAGGGTTTTGGATGAGATTTGAGGTCTCCTCAGATGTGTTCTTCTGGTGTGTCACACTTATCAGTTTTGTAGGTGGTAATCCTTGTTCTCGAGCAACCTGTCACAACCTTGAAGATGAAGGTGCCATGTTCCTCTGAAAAATGTGTTGACTTTCAGCAGACAACATGGCGTTATATCTCAGAAGATAGGAACATTTCATAGTTGATTTTGACTGTGGTGTATCATCACTGTGGTGTGATGAGCTAACAGAAGGAACCGCGGAGCGTGGAACAACAAATTGTGATTAAATTCCTCGTTGGAGAAAACATCCCATCTGCTGAAATTCACCACAGACTCCAACAACAGTATGGGGAAGAGTGTTTCTCACGGACCCGTGTGTTTGAGTGGTGTAAGTGCTTCAGAGAGGGCAGAGAGCGCGTGGAGAATGAACTGCATGATCATTGGCCACGAACATCCATCATCGAACCAAACATTGATCGTGCAGATGCGCTTATTCATGAGAATAGGCGCATCACTATCAAGGAACTTGGAGCAATGCTGTCCATCAGTGTTGGTAGTGTAGAAACATCGTGAAATACCACCTGCACTATCGCAAGGTGAATGCACGGTGGGTACCACGCACTTTGACGGACGTGAACAAAATGGTGCGCATCAAGCTGCCAGTCATCTACAGCAGTTTGAAGATGAAGCTGATGCATTTTTGAAGTCTATAGTGACCACCAATGAAAGGTGGGTGCACTACTTCATTCCCGAGTCCCAGCAATCATCACGTGAATGGTGGCATACCAGTTCTCCCAAACACAAGAAAGCGCGGAGGAGCTGTTCGGCAGGAAACGTGATGGCAACATTCTTCTGGGACTGGAGGGGGTTATCCATGTAGACTTTCTGACAGATGCCAGAACAGTCAATGCAGCTTATTACTCAGACCTCCTGGCAACAGATGTGAAGGAAATGATCCGATCCAAGCGGAAGGCAGGTGGAAAGCGGGTAGCCTTCCTTCAAGACAGTGCACAACCCCTTACAGCCAAGACAACAATGGAAACCATCTGGAAATTGAAATGGAACCTTCTGACACATCCGCCGTACAGTCCCAATTTGGTCCCAAGTGATTTCTACCTGTTCGGAAGGCTCAAATCAGACTTGCAAGGCATGCGGTTTGTGGACAAAGCTGCCGTCATCCAGACTGTTCGGGAGTGGATACGCTGCCAACCACAAGCCTTTTTTGAAAAGGGCATCAGGATGCTTCCAGAACGTTGGAAAAAATGTGTTGACTCTGGAGGGGAGTATGTTGAAGATTGACACATGCAAGTAAGTGTTTGGCAATTATGGTTAAAAAAAAATCAGTCCCAGTCATATTTGAACCACCTTGTACATACATACATATATATGTACATGCACACTTTTTCATGTATTAAAAATCCAGCTTTCATTGTCCCTAGTTCTTTATCCCCTCAGATGTTCATGTGACCACGTTGGTTGGTTCTTTGGTCAACCCAGTTACTTCCACTTTTTTTTTCTCTCTTCAGGTAAATACGTACACCCCACAACACACTTAAGCTGTTGTTATTCTTCTGATTTCAACTGGAACATAACTGCAACTTCTGCTTACATTTTTGGAACAGACATGAAGATTCACTTGTTCAGAGAACATGTTATACAAATTGAGTGATCTGTGTTGATATGAAGAAAGAAGTAAAATGGAAATGAGTATATTCAGGAATGGACCAATGGGCATTATTGATAGATGTTGGTACATTTGGGATTGGCCCAGCAGACATGTTAATATACATGGGTATATATTTGGTCACCCTAGATGGACATGAGTATATTCTGGGTTGGTCCTCAATAAATTAAAAATTTACTGGGAAATAAGAAACCAACAGAAAGATGCCTCTACTTCTGTGAACCTTAATTCCTGTCAGAAATAAGGCTGATGTCTTGTTATATTTAAATATTTGCAGAATTTTCAATACAAGAAGATCCTTCTCTAGCCAGAAGATACATAATTTAATATGTATACAGGCCTCTACATATTGTGAAACTTACTGATCAGTAATTGTAAGTAATTTATTAATTGAAAGATGATGAAATCACTGATTTGGAGTTGTTAGGACAGTGAATTGAAATGGTGTATCAAAGATGCAGATAAGATGAGCAAAGTACAAGAGAGAACAGATCTAGACTTTCTGCCTGAACTGTGGAACCAAGTAAGTTAATATTCAGAAGGTCCCATGGGTGGTTATTGTGGTTGAAATCCTTCGTGATTTCGGCCATTAATACCAGCATGGTATCCTAAATACCATAACCATGGTCTGTAACCTAACCATCTGCCATTTCGTAACATTCACCATTGTCTTCAGTGCTTCATTATTAACTGTTACTGTCAGATTTTAAATTCTCATGCAGGGGCTAGTGACCAAATTTTTTAATCCTCTTCTGTCCTCTTTTGGAAGCTTTCTGCAACGAACATAATGAATTTATGGCATATTGTGATGTGTGCCAAGTGTCATGTCTTTGCTCGTATTCATTGACACCTTTTTTAATAGTTCATTCATGTATGCAAACAGATTGTACCTTCCCATACCCAATATTCTTTCATTTCTGTGCAAATTAGTATGTAATAAGTAGAATTAGGTTGGAAATAAAGGGAGAAAGACTTAGCTCTGTAACTCTATTGGTATTTAAAGGAATGCAGTAACCTGTGTAGCCAGACTGCATGCTTGTGCCATTACAGAAATCTGAAGTTTGGAACTTAAGTTTTTGGTAGCCGACAATCTAAACAAGTAGTGGTTACTTCTCCTTTAAATAAAGCTTTTAATTTAATCTGTTTATTGTTTTTACTTCTAGTAAAAAAGGCACAGGGGGCACACGGTAGTGTAGTTGGTTGAGGGGCTATGCTACAAGCTGGACGGTCGCTGGTTCAAGTCCCGATGTGGTCATTGGATTTTTTTCAGTTGATCTAATCTTTCTAGCCGCACTATGGCCCTGGGGTTCACTCAGCCTTTTAACAGAAATGAGGTCCAGGAATTAATTAAACAAGTTTCATGGGGAGTGAAGTGCAACCAGCACGTAAGGCTGACAACCATACCACCATCTTTGAGCAGATTGTCGAGATAATGCGGGACCCTCAACATCTAACAACCCAATGCGCCTTCATGGCCTGGTAAAGGGATAGCTTTACTTTTTTTTTTCTTTTTACAAAAGGCACAGAGGTGCATCCAGTTACTCAAAAGGAAACCTGGAACTGCTGATTCTTCATTAAGGTCCATTCAGTGTGGAAATATTCTATATGACATTTCACATAAAGTGAGCACCACAGTGTATTAACTCTCATTATCTGGGAATAGGGAATTTAAGGTGCCCTTTTTAAGGCTCCCTGCAGATTGGCAGCCAGTAATCAAGAATTCACTGAATTCTGCAGATGGTTTTAAAGTGTAGAATGAATTGCTTTCATTGGTTACTCACAAAGTATTTTTATTTTGCAGCATTAAAAGACTTCACATTGTTACTCTGTAACCAGACCAGTTGTTGGACAGAGATGAAGGCCCCCCCCTCCCCAAAAAAATTAAGTCTGAGGATGTGGTAATGAGCTGCGTATCTGGACTATTGCCCATCTCAGAGGGGGCAGCAATAGATGAGCATGGAGGAATGGTGGAATTATGATTGGCAGGAGAAACCCGAAGATACTCGGGTAAAAATACATACTCCAGTGCTACTGTACCCACCATATATCTCACATGAAGTCACCTGGGACTGAACCCAAGGCTCCATGAGAAGCTGGCATCTAACCTCCTGATCTATGTTGCTGTTTTAGTTATTGATAGATATCTGGAATTTTATTCTTGGTGAATTTACATGATTTTTTGATACAGTAGTAAAGTTGTACCCATTATCATACAGCTCCTGTTGTCCTCCTTCCGGAGTATGTGTATGTAGTTGGGGAATGTTTTGTTTGGTACACTGATTAGTGGTGTGTTCTAGTAATACTTTCTGACTTCTCATGGTTATCTTCCTATGTTTCATTCTGTCTAGACATCACTAGACAGTGTATAACACACAAGTATGCCTTCAGGGTCTCATGTGATAAGTGTCCACAGAGCTCACACAAATATTGTAATGTACCTTGACGTGCCCATTTTATTTACATGGTGATAAAAGTCTGGATTCATTGCTGTAGAATGGTCGCCACTCATTATAAGTAATGTGATGCCAATGTTCATCTTAAGGATGGTGACAGGATGTTCCTCCAAAACATTCATACCTACCAGACTACATGGCGTCATAGAACACCATAACACGAATCTTCACTGCTGTAATTGTGCTGAAATCTTAAAAATTATTGTCTTCTCATATGTATGTGACTCTGTGTAATCTGGTACGTATTCCCTAATTTAGTTTGTCCTTTCCCTTCTTCACTTCTTCATTTTCCCTTTCCTATTCTACCCTCTGAATCATCCCCTGCTGGTAATTTGCCTTTTCTGCCCTTGAAAAAGAGACCCTTTAAAGGGCCACTGATTCTTCTGGCTTCTCTCTGCTTTCTATATGTTATTCACAACAATTATTTCTTCCTACTACTTTCTCCTTAAAGATCCAATATCCTTGACACTGTTCTCCTTACTCCTATGGTTTTCTGAGGGCCCTGCCCCCCTCCCTTCCACCACCACCAGTATAACCATACCATTCTTCTTACACATATGACTTCCCTCTTCCACCCTGAAGATGGAGGCAACATGTTCCTACTGGTAATGCTGTACTAGACTACATGACATCACAACCCAAAAGACCATAATCTGCATATCCACAGAAACTCAAATCTTGCCAAGTCAGTCTAGAAGTTGTGATCCTATATAATTATAGGCACTAAATTCAAACAAGTGTAAACAGTACAGGATTCTTGAACCCAGAAGTAATTAATACTGATTTATTCAATTACTGGAATGGCAATACATGATCATTACACTTGATACAATCTGACACTCACTCTCACACATAATTATATCTGGGTACTTCACTCTCTTTATGAAAGCATAACTGTGAATTTCAAAAACTGATTTACAATGCAAACATGTCATAATTATGAAATGAAGAATAGTAAGTGAATGTTACAAGGACACAGCTGCACTGAAGCCACATGGAACTGGTTGGCTAGTTGCAGTCACAGGCATCTTTGGGGCAGCTGCACTCCCCTTTTGTTTTGCACTGACATTTCTCTGCTGAAATGTAGGAGGAACAACAATTAGTTTTGTTTGTATTATTTAACATCAAATGATAGGGTGATTGGTGACTAATGATTTGGAAAGGATGTGGAAGGAAACAGTTATGGCCTAACATATGCTAGAAAGAACTGGAGAATCACAAAATACTCAAGAGGGTTGTGTCCTGCTTGAGACAAAAAATTGAGCCCCTTCAGAATACAAGTCAGTTGTGTTACCAGTGAAATTTTTTTATGTGTGGGGGGGGGGGAGCAAGTGATGTCACAAAGTCTCCTGATACTGTGGTCCCAAATGGACCCTGATGATTGATGAGTATGTAACACTACTGAAAGCGGCCTCCATAGTCTAGAGGTAACGTTCCCACCTCATGACTCATAGTACGCGGGTTCAAATATCCGGCGGAGGTCGTCATAGCTTTATGGCATATAAAAGAACCTCATATCTCCAGGGGAGGTCACTGAGCCAAATTACGGATGTTTCCCACCCAACAGCAGTCTCTAATACCTCTGGTAGATGGGGGAAGCATTATAGATACCTCTCAGCTAGTAGAGCCGGTCTCGCTGGCTGGGCGGTACTGATGGTATGCACCAGTACCGGTAGGATACAGAGACTGGTAGAAATCAGAGGGAAGCACAGTGGACCAATACAGGTCTAAGTGCATGGGGAAACCCACCCTCTCCAATAACTAACTAACTAACACTACTGAAACAATAACTGATCTGTCTGTGTCACTCTGTGCTGTGATTTGGGCACCCTCAAATAGAGTCCTACCAGCAAATCGTTGCTGTCAATTTTGTTTTACTGTCCCTTCCATGTCAGGATTATGCTTTAAGATGGGCCATAATCACTTCCCTCCCCATAACTCTCAGTTCATAATCACCCTCCTAGCCTCTTCGGTTAATCTTTAAAACATAAGATTCTACCTAACAGAAATGCAATATTTAAAACCAGTGTTGAAGAACTGGGGTGTGAAAGTATGAATTGAATTCATCAGGATATGGGGTTCAGCAGCAGCTTCTTTTATGGAAATGAACAGTTTCTTGGTCAATTCAGCAACTTACCTCCTCAAAGACAACTATTTTTCCATGGATTAAGGTTTTAAAATGTAGGGCTGCCCCTCTTTATCTATGGAATCTCATAATTGTGAAAGTTGTGAAGAAAATATTTGTAACTAAATTATTTCAATTTGCTGAAGAATGGAAAGAAAACTACAGAATGTAGTCCTTCACGGTTTTTACTATGTATTATATTTCGTGGAGACTACAAATTCTGAAGCTGATCATGCATTTTTCTCCAGCCTCCACAGTACTGAGCAACCCGGCCTTAAACACCCCAGTCTATGTTCTTTCCTTGAGGTGAGACACCACATTCCACACACACACACAAGGCAGAAAATACAAAGTAAGTAACCCATGGAGCACAGCCCTTATTCAAAAACTAACAATTGCTCGGCCACTCAAGAAATTCCCAACATTTTATGGAAACTGAAGGTTGATAAGTGTTCACAAGAAACCAGCTACTGGACCTTACCCAATTAGTACTTTTACATCCTCTTTCCTTTGAGTTCCATTTTAATATTACCCTATAATCTACTCCCATGTTTTCTGGTATGAAATACAGTAGTATAAATGTATACTGGTTCAAAGTACTCGTAAGTAAATGTACACTGGCCAGTTCTGTAAGCAGACTGTAGCTTACAAGTTGCTGGCCTATTATCATTACTGTTGGTGTGAACCAGGTCAGGTGCTGATAGTGGCCTTACCTGCGGCATCCCCGGTACCCCTGCTGCTGTTGCTGTTGCTGCAGCACTGACACTCGGAGCCACATGTGCAGTTTTCCCCACAGCTGCCAGACTCTGGGCAGGTTTCTGAAAGCCAGAGCAACTTCTGTAAGTATTTGGGAAGCTCACAAACAGCTGTAGATTCTATTCGTACAGTCTTTTGTGGTGTGACTGTGTAGCCTGGTAGCTTATACAGTGTCACATTCCAGAAGATGGTACTTTTAATATCCACTGTTGTCAGAACCTCAGATTTCACACTGTATATGTCCTTTTATTTACATCAGACAGGCTGTGCCATAGCACAGGTGTTTAGTCGTTGGTTTCCCACCGTAGTGGAGCAGGTTCGAGCCCAGTCAGGTCACACAGATTAAATGGCACTGAGGCAGGTTTTCCTTCAAGTACTTAGGTTTCCCTGCAAAATCCCATCCCACCAGATGCTCCACATTCATCTACCATCTGCAGCTGGTATAATAGCCCCACTAGGGGCTGGCATGCCAAGTGGACTCAAGTCACCCCACCAAAAAATAAAAAATAACGTCATCACTTATGTAGTCTCTTTTCTTTCCAAACAGTTTGACAGCATCCTCTTGTAAACATAACAAAGTGCTTAATAATTTTGGCCCCTTATGCTGAATGGATACACCTCATACTGACCCCCCCTCAAATCATATTCAGTATCAGAAGCATGCCGAAAGTGCTCATTGTGTCCCTTATCAATGATTTCAATTCCAACAAACTCTACTCGCACTACCTATTTTATTTTAGAAACGTCACAATCATTTGACAGTACAAGAGCACTCAATGCACATTGCCTGGAGCATATTTCAGTCACAGGAGGAGGGCGTGGAGGGATGCGGATAGTAGCATTCATGAATGTGATATGGAAGGGATAAACTGTAGGATTAGTAATATTTGAAGTAAAATTCAAGTTTGCAGGAGGGCCCCCTTAGATTCTGAACTGTATGCAGCCGAATCCCGCAGGCCACAGTACCCATATTCCTGATGAAGGCAGAAAGAGTGGCTTGTTTGTCCTCCAAAAGCACACATTCAACTGTGTGTAGCAATCTATAGGATTCCTCAGAGACAGACACAAGTAGCACCTGATATACGTACTATTATAGGAAACAGATAACTGTTACCAATATGTACAGTGGCCACAGCTGTCAAAGCAGTGTGCAAGTGATGAGGTAGAGCTTTGGGGTGTCATTTGAGTATATTATATTGAAGCATCCTGTTACATTCCACACATCTACATGTATAATATAAACTCTGTTGCAAATGTAAAACTTTATTGTAGTTCTTGTCCCCTTCTTTCACACTACGTTTCGACCGCAACTGGCCATCATCAGGTGTATTTTACTTCACGTAGCTCTCACACTGCACTCAATATTAACATTTAAACTCCAGATTTCCAATTGTTCATTGCTTGGTAGTCAATCGGTATCCAATATTCCAGAACTCCCCTTGTCGATTTTTTATATTTAAAATCTTTATTAGTATTCACATGTCGATTGGTTTAAATTTTTTCCCCCCCAATTTAGTTTTAACATTTTAAAATTTTAAATTTAAATCAAAATCACAGAGAGGTTAGCTGCAGCACATATAAGCATAGAACAGGTATCTCTGTGATTTTGATTTAAATTTAAAATTAAAATTTTAAAATAATTGTAAATGATTAGTTATCCCAAATATCAAATAGTAAGGGGTGGGGGGCACGCGGTAGCGCATTTGGTTGAGACACCATGGAACAAGCCGGAAGGTCGTGGGTTCAAAACCCGATGAGGTCATTGGATTTTTTTCAATTGACCTAATCCTTCCAGCTGCACTATGGCCATGGGGTCGACTCAGCCTCTAACAGAAATGACTACCAGGAATATTCTTTGATATTCTCAGGGGTAAAGGGAGGCCGACACGTAGGGCTGACAACCTTGCCGCCATCCACGAGCCGATTGTCTAGAAAATGTGGGAACCCCGACATCTCACAACCCTATGGGCCTCCACTGCCTGTTACAGGGATAACTTTACTTTTTTACTTTTACATCATTATTCTATCCCGAATACTTAAAGATGATCAACAAAAATAATCCCGAGCGGCTTAAACATAGATTGTAAGGACGTTTTTCTAGATAGCCCTCGTTTAAGAGAAACTGCTGAGGGGGTCCCAGATGCCTACTGCGTTACGTCCGTATGTTAACGTAATAGAGGCGATCAATAGTAAAGATTTCGTGTACTCACCCTTACACCTTTCGCAGCATGGAGTAGGCATGATGATGTAGTGACGTTGACAAAGCTGCAACCACAAGAGAATCTGACGAAAGCTAATGACGAATGCAACATGAGCGCACTGTGCCGCGTATTTATTGGCCCTGCGAGCCGTGCGCAAGCCAGCCCGTCTCCAAGGGCAAGGTCGGCAGGAAGGAGTGCAGCTATGCACACGGACGCTAAGTTAAACAGAATCACGACGCCTACTTGACTGCAATCACGCCCAAGTGGACACTGATAAGGGATGGAAGCAAATAGTGAATGTGAAGTCAGACAACATTACTTCCGGTAGCTTTCGGAAAGTAACGTTCGAGTATGGCCATAGCTCAAGCGGTTAGTCGCTGGCTTCCCACCGCGGCGGCCTGGGTTCGATCCCGGGTCTGGTCAAGTGGGATTTGTGGTGGACAAAGTGGCGCTGGGGCAGGTTTTTTCCGAGTACTTCGGTTTCCCCTGCCAATCTTCATTCCACCAATTGCTCCACAATCACCCTCACCTATCATCTGGGGCTGGTACAATAGGCCAGAAGTGGCCGCAGTTCAAGGGACCTAGTCCCACCCCACTAACAATAAAAAAAGTCGATTATGAAATACATAAAAATTTTTAGAAAGACCGGACATTTGGCTCAGCACTTCTGAACCTGTGTTCGGGAGCTGCCCGTCTCATGTCTCTGTTGGGACGCCGACTACGCCGCTTTCGTGGTTTCCCTCTAGCAAATGCTGCTCGAATAAGCCACGACCACTTCCTTTTTCGCACTATTTTAGTCGTTATTTAATACTCATTCTACTACTCGACACTGTGCAGCCTGAGCTACTGACAGCATCATTAACCAAACTATAATTAATAACGGCAATGTTGTCCCTGTGCTTAATTCGTCGAGCACCATGCCATGAAAATACAAGGAGGAGTGGAAGTATAGCTCCACCATGCTTGACCTCGGCAGTAAGATGGAGGTGAGTGGTCAGCTTCACGCTCCGGCCGCTTTATCCCCGAAGAAAGAGCCCACGGTATCCCTTGGATAGGAGGCTGGATGGTTCCCAGAGCCTGTCTGGACGCTTTGGAGAGAAGCAAAATCTCTTGCCCCTGCCAGGAATCGAACCCCGGCCGTCAAGCCTATAGCCCGTCACTGTACCAACTTATCTTTCCGGCTCAAGCTATTGATGAATAATATCTACAAACTGAGATTCTACCTCAAAGAAAACAGTGTTCCTCCATTACCAAGGCCAACCAGTTTAAGGAAACAGTCACTGTTTATTGTGAGAACCATACGGAACACGTAAACACTACGTGGACAGAATGCAGAGCTACTCAGTTGTTTAAATGGTAAAGATCACGGAAGAGTTGGCGAGTGCTCATACGGCCCGATCCTTTGGTCAGCCTTGTCCCAAGACGTTTCATTCATATTACCGGCTACGTCTTTGCCATTCTGATCGATCGTATATCCTTAGTTTACGTTAGCTCTCGCATTTTTCGGGGCTAGTCAGTGCGTTGGCTCACCTAAAGCAGCTGAGTTCGTATTATTGCAAAGAAGTAAACCGAACTCGCTGTGATCCACTTGCGTGGGGCCCACCAACATTTTCCCTCCCCCAGAAAGAAAATGTGCTTACAAACTAACGTTTCAGCCGTGTAAAAATATTTTTACTCATCGTCCTCATGTATTCAGGATACAAGAATATATTTTATATATTTTTAATTTTATCTAAATATTTGGCGTATATCCTTCGTTTCCTACTTTTATTTTCAAAATTCCGGACGTGAGACGCATGGTTTTGTTCCCCTTTTGCTGGAGCCCACCCCTGCATGGCTATGGGGACCTGGGCGGCTGGAAAAATGGGGCAAGAACTCATGGAACAAAAAAGAATAAATGAAAGAATTTAATTGGGCAGGAAATAGGGTAAAGAAAAGGAAAAAGGTGTAAAGATGTGTAAAAGTGATAGAAAGAAGGAAACGGGGGAAAAGAAAAAGATGCAACGAAATAAGGTAGGTATGAAACTAAATGAATGGAGAGAGGAATAACTGTTGCTTGTCTTTTAGGATGTGACGCCGTGTAGTCCCGGAGGAATGTTATCAAGGTTTCGCGACAGGTTTCTCCGTACCTTTGGTACTAAAATACCAAAGCACACGGCGTAACGTCCGAGAAGATAAGAATGTTGCAATTCACGACCGTGGGAAGCTCACGTCGCCCTGAGGAGCGGGCCGTGTGCAGTCGGAGTGCTAATTGCAGTGACCTCGGACACGAGCTGCTCGCGTTGGCCTTCCTGGAACACGAGCGGGTCCCGGCCCTGCTTCGTGTTATGGAGGTCCACGGTTCGGGGACAGGACATCGTTCTTGTAGTTCCTCAGTCCCTCCAGGCAAATGCTGCGATAGTACCTTAACTTCTGCATCTTTTCCAATTCATTATTCACCAGTCCCCCCGCCCCTCGATGCTATATAGTGCGAGCTATTAAATAGCTCCATCGGTATATGTGCTGTCTGAACGTTCCGGGTTCGATTCCCTGTAGGACCAAGATGTTATTTTTTCTCTTTACCACAGCGTCCAGCCTCCTATCCAATGGGTACCGGGTGCTCCTTCCCGGACGGTCAGGCGGCCGGAGCGTGATGCTTAACACTCACCTTCATGTAGGGCAGAGATTAAGAATGGTGGATCTGTGCTTCCACTCCCCCAGACTTCTTCATAGTGTCGTGCTTAATTAATTAAACACAGGGACAACTTACGTTACTACTACGTGTATATATACATTTAAAATATGAATGTAAAATTAACTTCGTGAAATTACCTTTAATTTGAATTTATTGGTGCTTAAAGCTGATTTTCGAAAATGCCACCGCCGGCCGCAACACAGGCTGCCGCTCGGTTGTGAACCGCGCGGGTACATACCAACCCACCACGCCTTAGGTACCTCTCAAGTGTCGAGGTAACGAGAACGCTCTGTCTGTAACTGGCTAAAAATAGCGACCCGTTAGATGACAGACGCGGTTCACACGAGGGCGTGTACGGAAATGAATAAACGGTCATAACTCCGTAACCGTCCAAAATCGGACACATGTTTATATGAACTTTTTTTATCACAAAGACCTAGGAAATCACCTTCTGCTGTTATGCCTTAAAGTCGTGAAACACCCTGTATATATATGCAGTTTAGAAAATATTTTGATATGTTAAAGAAGGGTATTTGTGATATCCGTGCGCTTTAAGTTCATAGCTAGGAGTCCGGTAGTCTTCACTGCATTACTCAGCAGCTAGTAGAAAGGTAAGCCTGTCCTACCTTTAATTAAGCATCACGCAGTGAAGACGGAGGAGTAAAGGTATAACTTCAACACTTTTGACCTCAGAACTGGATGGAGTTTTACCCCCAGAGAAAACAGCTCACGGTACCCATTGGATAGGAGAGGGGATAGGCCCCCGGGAGTGGTCTGAACGCTGTGGAGTAGAGAAAAATATCTTTGCCCGTGCCGGGAATCGAAGCCCGCATGTCCACCCCGTAACTCGTCACTATACCGACTTGCAGAAGATTGTGTGACCGTCTAACCTCGCTCAATACGAATGTGCTGTATAAAATTCCTGCGAAGGGCGTCTACTTCGGGTGACACGAAACTGAATACTTGGGCGTCGAAGGGGGAGTTTCTCACATCGCCGCGCCACTCATCTTGCTGAGTTGCATGCCGGGAATTCGCAGCTTCCTGGCGTCAGTTTAATGGTCTCTCGTGTTCAGAGGTATATTGCGCGTCTGTCGTAAAGCTCTATCCCACCGAGACGCTAATAACTGGCTCAGTTCCGCGACGCTCTCACACCAGGCTTCGTGCCACTGCGCTTGTTTCGACTTGACAAACAGTCTCTCTCATTTCTTGTTTATTTCATCTGATACCGTCCTGATCAAGAATGGTGGATCCATACCTCCCCTCCCTCTAGCACCTTCATGATGTGGTATGTAATTAATTAAGCACAGCGACAAACTTAATTTTAACGTTTTTTGTCAGTGTAGAGCATACGTGGCCAACTACAGCTCGCGAGCCGCATGCTACTCCTTCGTCATTATTTATTTATTTATTTACAAATGGAGTAGACCGTCTCTGTGGTCTAGTAGTCAGAGTTCTTGGCTACAGATTAAGAGGTCCCGGGTTCGGTTCCCGGCGCTACCAGATTTTCTGAGAAGTAATGGGTCTGGAACGGGGTCCACTCGGCCTCGTGAGGATAACTGAGGAGCTACTTGAATGGAATTAGCGGCTCCGGTCTATAAAACCGATATTAACGGCCGTGGGTATTCGTTGCGCTGACCATGCGACACCCTCTATCCGCTAAAGTTAGCACTAGCTTCGCCGGCAAGCAGCGGTCGCTCTGTCGGTATAGTTCGTTTGCGGAGTACAGGCCACGGAGTTTGTTAGACACGAAAACTCTGCTGTGTGGAATGCTTGTACCTAAACATGTATGCCATCCAACCCACGTCTGTCTGCGGCTCAATCCTGTAGTTTGGATACTTCCTCGATTAGGTCACGACCACTTCCTTCCAAATCCTTTTCAGTATATAATTCATCCCACCATTCTGACATATACCGACGACGTTGTCAGACTACAGATGAATGATCATCACCACTACCATCATAATTATCATCATGAATTAAGCTCTTGGCCTGTTCTTGTTATTATTATTATTTTGGCTCCACAGCCTTTTGTTGGACCTTGACCGCTCTTTAAATTTCGTGATCCTGTACACAAATGGTAGGACTCCTTGGACGGGGGATCAGCCCGTCGTAAGGCCGCTAACTGCACACAGAACAGCAAAAACATATATAAAACGCACACACACATCCATTCCTTGAGTGGGATTCGAACCCAAGATCCCAAAGACATTTATGTATTAGACCGCGCGCCCACTGGTCGGCTCCGGTTCTGGTTACATGGATTAAAATCTGCCTTCCACCAGCTGCACCGTTATCCCCTAAGCTCTGCTGACACCGGAAGTCAGCAGCCACTGGAAATGAACTGACGAGACTGACGATGAGGCACGCTGTGATGGACAGTAAAAGAAATGAAGGGGAATTAAAAGAATTAGAAACAGACAGGATTTCGGAATACAACAGCAACTGAACTCGAGCCGTCGACAGAATGCGATGAAACAGACTTCAGAAA